CTGTGCACCGGGCAGAGCATGGGAAGCTGAAAAGTCCTTGCCTAGTGTAAACTCTACTCAGCAAGAACCAAAACATCAGTGTGTTATCAACATTATTCTCATCCTAAATCCAAAACACAGCACTATACCAGCTACTAGGAAGAAAAATCAACTCTATCCCAGCTGAAACCAGGACAGTCATCAGTTATAACTCCTCCATCCCAGAAACAGTTCAGATAATGAATTCTGACACTGTCTGACAAGTTATTAAATCTTGCAATGTTGGGGTCAAGCACGCTGAGATCTTCAGACCCTTATATTTTCCATCAACATTCACGTAGCTGGCTGTACCTCTTCCTGCCTTGGCTCAAAGCATGGAGCTCAAGAAATCTGAGCTCTGATTAACAGAGCTAGGTACAGTTGGCTCTACCTGTAGCCATCCCATCTCCACAGCATTAATTAAATCCATGTGAAGGAAGCAAACATGTTTATCTTCCCTCCCACAAGATAGTTCCAGCACTTTGGCTAAATCTGATGACATGCTTGCATGTAAGTAAGTGATGAAAGGGATGGACAAGGTGAGGACAGATCTGAACTCGTCTTAACTGACGGTATAGATGTGGTTCACCGGCCGGGCGGCCCGCCTTCCCTCCCCGTGGCCGGGCCCCGCCGCTTGTTGCCTGTTGCTTCCAGGTGAATCCTAAACTGCGGCACTTCATCGCGCCCAGACGCCTGTATTTGGTTTATGTGCCGCAACCTCGCCGTTCCTCTCGGGTTTTGTTCCATCCTGTTGGCAAGGACGCGTTTGTTTCACTTAAAACCTCCCCAGAAGATAACGTTAAAGGGCTGGTAGTGTCGGTCAGGGGTGAAAATTAAGTATAAACAAGGGGAGTGTGCTGAGTTGGTTTAAAGCACACATCAGCAAAAATTAAGTGAAAGTCGAACCGGTAGCAGTAGACTTTGTGGTTTTTGTCTGTTCAAGGCATTTTAGGGGAGAGGACGAGAAGGAGAAAAAATACTCAGGAGAGGTTTGGAGAGAGGGAAGAGATCACGTTATGTCTTAAATACAAGTGGGAGATCAGGTACTGCTTGCCTGTATTGTTATACAGATATAGCTTGATCGATACTCCCAATTTTATTCTACTTACGGGTTTTGTTAAAGCACAACTTGATGGGATTTCTGAGATTTTTGGCTACTTTATTAGAAAATGCATAACTGCATGGACTTCCCTATTGCTGATTAAATTACAGAAACACTGTATTCTCCTTAAAGGTCTCTACATAACAGCAAAAGGTCAAGGACCTGAGCAAACTTAGTCTTGTGTACACGGTAAACAAATTAACAAATGGAGCTTGGCGTAGGGGTTTCCTTTCGTTTTCGAAGTCCAAGTGCAGGCAGCTTTTAGTAGCGTGCACCGAATGCAACTCTCCTCTTTTCGGTTCTTTCACAGCGTATTTTTAAAGCGCTATGTTTGTCTGGTGAGCATAACTCTCTGTTTCTGTTTGAATCCTAATGAGAGAGGAACTCCAGAAGTATATAGAGCATCCAGTTCAGAGTTCGTTTAGCCTCTGGCTGCACTGCCTTGATCCCAGCCTCCAGCCCGTGTTGTGTCCTGCACCTCCCGGCTCCCCCGTGCAGACAGCGCGTGGATGTGCCTGATGCTGATGGAGCGTCGGCCGCGGAGCGCGGATGAGCCAGCCGTTCGTAGTTAATTCATTCCAGCGACATTCCTGTGATGGGCTAGCTAAGGCAGTGTCAGCATTTCTTTTATTAACCACAGTTTCCCAGGACCTGCCGCATGTTTCTGGGGTTGGACAATTTGCTTATTACAAGAGCCTAAAATTAGAGTTTTGTCCTCTGAGCAGATAGTTCAAATTAAGATTAAAAGCAAAGTTATGTTGGCAATAACTATGAATCTGTTAAGGATTGTTAACAAAGATCGTGTTACCTTAACTCTTGTGTTTTGTCTGATTGCTGGTTTTGCATGCAGTGGCCAATGATTCACTCAGCTTCCCCAGATTTGCGCTTCTCTGCTCTTGAGAAGGGGCGGGTGGTGAAATTTGAGGCAAATCTCCAAATAAGTATTGTTTTTTCTGGCTCTCGAGGTTAGTCGGAACATCTGTGGCTGTCAGCGTGTTTTAAAATGAACAGAAAAGTTAGTGTTGTGGTTGCTATTTTTTATTAATTACTCTCTCTAGTCATCCTAAATCTTTATGTTCATATGC